ATACATGGGGACAGGGATTCACACATATGGGGACAGTGGCCTCACATACATGGGGACGGGGATTCACACACATGGGGACAGGAGCCTCACATACATGGTAATGGGGATTCACACACATGGGGACAGGAGCCTCACACACAGGGGCACGGGGATTCACATACATGGGGACAGGAGCCTCACACACATGGGGACGGGGATTCACACACATCGGGAAAGGAGCCTCACATACATGTGGACGGGGATTCACACACATGCGGACAGGAGCCTCACACACATGAGGACGGGGATTCACACACATGGGGACAGGGGCCTCACATACATGGGGATGGGGATTAACACATGGGGACAGGGGCCTCACACACACGGGGACGGGGATTCACACATATGGGGACAGGGGCCTCACACACACGGGGACGGGGATTCACACACATGGGGACAGGGACCTCACATACATGGGGACGGGGATTCACACACACAGGGACAGGGTCCTCACATACACGGGGATGAGGATTCACACACATGGGGACAGGAGCCCGACATACATGGGGACGGGGATTCACACACATGGGTATAGGGACCTCGCATACATGGGGACAGGGATTCACACATATGGGGACAGTGGCCTCACATACATGGGGACGGGGATTCACACACATGGGGACAGGAGCCTCACATACATGGTAATGGGGATTCACACACATGGGGACAGGAGCCTCACACACAGGGGCACGGGGATTCACATACATGGGGACAGGAGCCTCACATACATGGGGATGGGGATTCACACACATGGGGAAAGGAGCCTCACATACATGGGGACGGGGATTCACACACATGCGGACAGGAGCCTCACACATATGGGGACGGGGATTCACACACATGGGGAAAGGAGCCTCACATACATGGGGGACGGGGACTCACACACACGGGGAGAGGGGCCTCACATACACGGGGACGGGGATTCACACACATGGGGACAGGGGTCTCACATACATGGGGATGGGGATTCACACATATGGGGACAGGGCATCACATACATGGGCACGGGGATTCACACACATCGGCACGGGGATTCACACACATGGGGACAGGAGCCTCACATACATGGGGACGGGGATTCACACACATGGGGACAGGGGCCTCATATACATTGGGATGGGAATCACACACACGGGGACAGGGGCCTCACACACATGGGGGATGGGGATTCACACACATGGGGACAGGGGTCTCACATACATGGGGACGGGGATTCACACACATGGGGAAAGGAGCCTCATATACATGGGGGACGGGGATTCACGCACACGGGGACAGGGGCCTCACATACATTGGGATGGGGATTCACACACACGGGGACAGGGGCCTCAAACACATGGGGACGGGGATTCACACACATGGGGAAAGGAGCCTCATATACATGGGGGACGGGGATTCACGCACACGGGGACAGGGGCCTCATATACATTGGGATGGGGATTCACACACATGGGGACAGGGGCCTCACACACACGGGGACGGGGATTCACACATATGGGGACAGGAGCCTCACATACACTGGGTCGGGGATTCACACACATGGGGACAGGAGCCTCACACACATGGGGACGGGGATTCACACATATGGGGACTGGGGCCTCACACACACGGGGACGGGGATTCACACACATGGGGACAGGGACCTCACATACATGGGGACGGGGATTCACACACACAGGGACAGGGTCCTCACATACACGGGGATGGGGATTCACACACATGGGGACAGGAGCCTGACATACATGGGGACGGGGATTCACACACATGGGTATAGGGACCTCGCATACATGGGGACAGGGATTCACACATATGGGGACAGTGGCCTCACATACATGGGGACGGGGATTCACACACATGGGGACAGGAGCCTCACATACATGGGGACGGGGATTCACACACATGGGGACAGGAGCCTCACACACAGGGGCACGGGGATTCACATACATGGGGACAGGAGCCTCACATACTGGGGATGGGGATTCACACACATGGGGAAAGGAGCCTCACATACATGGGGACGGGGATTCACACACATGCGGACAGGAGCCTCACACATATGGGGACGGGGATTCACACACATGGGGAAAGGAGCCTCACATACATGGGGGACGGGGACTCACACACACGGGGAAAGGGGCCTCACATACACGGGGACGGGGATTCACACACATGGGGACAGGGGTCTCACATACATGGGGATGGGGATTCACACATATGGGGACAGGGCATCACATACATGGGCACGGGGATTCACACACATGGGCACGGGGATTCACACATATGGGGACAGGAGCCTCACACACATGGGCACGGGGATTCACACACATGGGGTAAGGAGCATCACATACATGGGGACGGGGATTCACACACATGGGGACAGGAGCCTCACACACACGGGGATGGGGATTCACACATATGGGGACAGGAGCCTCACATACATGGGGACGGGGATTCACACACATGGGGACAGGAGCCTCACATACATGGGGACGGGGATTCACACACATGGGGACAGGGGCCTCACATACATGGGGACGGGGATTCACACACATGGGGACAGGGGCCTCACATACATGGGGACGGGGATTCACACACATGGGGTAAGGAGCATCACATACATGGGGACGGGGATTCCCACACATGGGGACAGGGGCCTCACATACATGGGGACGGGGATTCACACACATGGGGACAGGAGCCTCACATACATGGGGACGGGGATTCACACACATGGGGACAGGGGCCTCACATACATGGGGACGGGGATTCACACACATGGGGACAGGGGCCTCACATACATGGGGACGGGGATTCACACACATGGGGACAGGGGCCTCACACACACAGGGACGGGGATTCACACACATGGGGACAGGGGCCTCATATACATTGGGATGGGAATCACACACACGGGGACAGGAGCCTCACATACATGGGGGATGGGTAATTCACACACACGGGGACAGGGGCCTCACACACATGGGGACGGGGATTCACACACATGGGGACAGGGGCCTCACATACATGGGGACGGGGATTCACACACATGGGGACAGGGGCCTCACATACATGGGGACGGGGATTCACACACATGGGGACAGGGGCCTCACACACACAGGGACGGGGATTCACACACATGGGGACAGGAGCCTCACATACATGGGGACGGGGATTCACACACATGGGGACAGGGGCCTCACATACATGGGGACGGGGATTCACACACATGGGGATAGGAGCCTCACATACATGGGGACGGGGATTCACACACATGGGGACAGGGGCCTCACATACATGGGGATGGGGATTCACACACATGGGGACAGGGGCCTCACATACATGGGGACGGGGATTCACACACATGGGGACAGGGGCCTCACATACATGGGGACGGGGATTCACACACATGGGGATAGGAGCCTCACATACATGGGGACGGGGATTCACACACATGGGGACAGGGGCCTCACATACATGGGGACGGGGATTCACACACATGGGGACAGGGGCCTCACATACATGGGGACGGGGATTCACACACATGGGGACAGGGGCCTCATATACATTGGGATGGGAATCACACACACGGGGACAGGAGCCTCACATACATGGGGGATGGGTAATTCACACACACGCGGACAGGGGCCTCACACACATGGGGACGGGGATTCACACACATGGGGACAGGGGCCTCACATACATGGGGACGGGGATTCACACACACGGGGACAGGAGCCTCACACACATGGCGACGGGGATTCACACACACGGGGACAGGAGCCTCACATACATGGGGACGGGGATTCACACACACAGGGACAGGAGCCTCACACACATGGGGACGGGGATTCACACACACGGGGACAGGGACCTCACATACATGGGGACGGGGATTCACACACATGGGGACAGGAGCCTCACATACATGGGGACGGGGATTCACACACATGGGGACAGGAGCCTCACACACATGGGGACGGGGATTCACACACATGGGGAAAGGAGTCTCACATACATGGGGGACGGGGATTCACACACATGGGGAAAGTAGTCTCACATACATGGGGGACGGGTATTCACACACACGGGGACAGGAGTGTCATACACATGGGGACGGGGACTCACACAAATAGATACGGGGGCCTCACATAAAAGGGGACAGGGATTCATTCATGTTCCAGTGGCTTCACACACAAGGGGACAGAGGCCTCACACACATGGGAATGGGGATTCGCATACAGGCGGCAGGGCCTCACACATGGGGACGGAGATTCACACACAGGGAGACAGGGGTTTCACACATGGGAATGGTGCCTCACACACACAGGCACTGGGGTCTCACACACGTGGGGAGGTTCCCTTGCAAGCATGCTCTTCCTCACAGGAGGACTCCCAGGAGGTAGGCAACACAACAGAATGCCACCTTGTTCCTGGCAGGACTCAACTGACGTCTTCTGTCCTGTTTAGAGACATAGGAGCCTCAGGAACAGACCTGTCCAGAGTGGGCACACTGGCCCACAGCCTGGCCCTGGGTTTAAGATTGCTGACCCAGCCCCGAGGAGCCCTATAGGCCACTTTTGCCTACTGACCTCTGGATGTTTGTCTCCCCCAGGGTTCCTAGGTTGACAGGCTTTTGGGAGGTGGTGGAGACTTTAGGAGGTCTGAGGTCATGAGGTGTCCTTGAGGGTTTGGACATCCTGTCTGCTCCTCTCTCTTGCCTCCAGTGATGAGGCTCTGCTCCCACCACGAGGGGCTACATTGTGGGCCCAAACCAAAGGTGTCAGGGCCAGGCCATGTGCGCCAGCAAGTGTGTCCCTGCACTGGAAGCATCTGCTGTCTGCAGGACACACACTCTCTGGGGCTCAGGTACACATAGCCTGGCCTCACAGCTACCAGTGGGACGTCCCTGTGACTCAAGCAGCTTGGGTTGCATTAAAATGTGACACAGTGACTGGAAGTGATGAGTTCTGACTTTGTTTTTTAATATAACTTATGTACGCTTACATAATTTTGGCTTTAACAGCTGTGTGTCAACACTGCTTAGCAAAATCCTTGATGCCTTAGCCTGCGCAAGCCGGTTCCAGCTTACAGTGCCTCCTTCCAGCACAGACGGGTGCTCGGGTGCAGACACCAGGTGGAACTGGGAGGGGAGGGGACAACTGTAGCAGACAGCAGACAGGAACTGCTGGAAGACGCTGTCCGGTGGGCAGTTCTGACCCCGTTTCTCCTCCAGCAGGTGAAACCAGCCCAGGCACAGCCTGGGTCACCTCCTTCCACACAATGCCTGCCTGCGCTCCCAAGGAGCGGGACTCAGCCCCCTTCCCCTGAACCTGGGGCCAGCAGAGCCACAGGGGCTCCACGGGCACCTCCCTCCTCCAAGCCCACACTGACCCAGCAGCCCAGGAGGTCCAGCATGGGCCAGGAGCACAAGGAACAGAGCTGCTGAGTCCACAGAAGACAGGGGAGGAAGCAGATCACTGTGAGGACTCGGCGGAGGGCCACTGATTACTGTCAAAGCACTTCACGGCTACATTGTCTCCTGGTAGGAGAACTAAACTGTCACAATCGTGACAGCTTTACTCAACATCGGTGTAATTACCAAACTAAAAATAGGACAAAAGGGGGAGATTTTCTCTGAGGAGCTGAGCTCTGCCACCACCCTCTGGTGCGGCTGGGACTGTCCACCCCCAGCATGGAGGGAGGAAAGGAAGGGAGCCGCGCTGCTTGGCTGCAATGGGAAGCGTCCATTGCAGCGTCCTTTGGGTCCAGTCCTCTCCAGCAGGCAGGGATGGCCACCTCAAAGCGGCTGATAGACTCAGCTAGGACAGGCTAGCCATGCCTGGGGTTCTGTCATCACAGCACACAAAGGGGTGGCACCACCCCGCCTGACACATGCGAGGCCCATGCCCAAGCCCTCTACCACACCTGCCCAGCTGCCTGCCCTGAGACTTCCTGGACAGCTGCCTCCTAGAGCCACCCTGCGGCCTCTGTCCCATCGCCCTCCCTGAGCTGCATAGCCTCAGGCTTCCAGGACTCCCCAGCACTGTGACAGGGCTTCACTCTTTATTGTAGACAGCTAGGACAGAAACTGAGAGGCAGTCAGAGAAGGACTGGCCCTTGGAGCCAGTGCAGAAGATAACACAGCAAAACTGTGGCCGGAGTAAACTGGAGGAGAAACCAGGCCTGCAGCACCCAGCAGCCAGGCAGGGAATGCACCCTGCCCTCTCCCCGACCTCTGCTCCATGTTAGGAGTTACAGGTAACCCCGTATATCCTCAATCCATGCTGCTTCCCAATCTGCTCACGGCCAGCCACATGGCTGGACTGACAGCCCCACAGGTCGGCCTCAGGGTGACCCACAGTGGCCTGAGACATGGTTATTTTCCCCTATAAAACCCCACAGAGCCAACGTGGTGACCTCTTTCAGGCCCCGTCTCTCAGGACTTTTTCTCAATAAACCTTTTCCACTCTTAACAGCCTTAGCCCTGGTATCCATTCTTCACTTATTGGGAGCTGCGAGCTTGGCACCCCTGACCCCTGGCGGGGTGGAGTCACCTTCCTGTGACCCTCACTTCCATAACCTTGTCTTCAGCCCTGACCGGCCTCTCCCTGAGAAGGAAAGTTCACCCACTCCAGTCACAGCAGTGGAGGGAAATGCTGGGTACTTCCCGTCTACAGCCACAAGAGCTGCCCAGACACTGGCAGCCCTCCAGAGAGACCCTCCCTCTGTGAGATGCCTGTCCCCTCCCGCCCACTTCCCCCAAAACACTGGTTTTCAAATCCTTCAAAGACAGCTGTACCAGTCACCCCGCAGCAGAACCCTGAGCGGCTCTGCTGGCTTTCAGAGTGAGGCCACAGAAAGGAGGGCTCTTGAAGTCAGATGTATGGGTTCGAAAACAGGTCTGCAGCTTCCATATGGCACAGGGAAGCCCACAGCTCTCACCCTAAGCATTGGTGTCCCCCTCACCACGTGGAGAGATGGAGCACTTGGACCTCACAGGATCTGAGGATCTGAGGGGGGTTCCAACAGGGGTGGACACAGCCTGCCAGTTGTGTAGTGCATGTGCAGGTCTGCTACCATTCACCTCTGAGGAGACAGCACCAAGCCTCGGGCGGTGGAGCCTCTGGTCACTCTCCGCAGGTAAATGGATTTCCTGACCTAGCCGCTGCCTCTTCTGTCCTGTTAGGGGCCAGCTCCGCCTCTCTGGGAAGGAGGCAGAGGAGGGAAACAGAACAGCTCACAGCCAGAAGAGAGCGGCTTCGCTGAGCACAGGGAGCTGAGGCAGGCCTGCCTGTCCGGGATGGAGGTGGTGGCTTCCAAGGACTGGAGCCCTAGCAGCCTGGCAGTCCTGGAGGTCACTCTGTGACCCAGCGAAGCCACCTGCCAGAAGCTAAGGCCTCAGAGAACAGCTGCTCCTTGACAGCACCACAGCAGGCTCTGTTCTGCCAGCAGCCTCCCGCCAGAAGCCTGCATTTTGTTTTCTGTAGAATTTTCAGAAGCACAAAACCCTTTCAAAACTTTGCTTTTTCCACCACCCCCTCAGCTCACCCTACAGAGCAAGTGTCACCCAGGCGCAGTTGAAAAGAGGGGGCCAGTGGGGAGACCTGTGCACAGCATGGTCATGATCACAGCCTCAAGAGAGTTGCAGTCTCGCCAACAGCAGCTGTATGTCCACAAATGGTGTCCCAGCAAGGAAAAGCTGGGACGAGGCTGGCGTCACTGTGCCTGATTCGAGCAGCAGCACAGCCGCGGCCTTGTCACTGTCCATATCTGCATGCTGCACTCACCCTAAAGGGAGAGGACCCCAGCAGCAAGACTAAACTTGCAAAGTGGAGCCATGCCGTCTGCTCAGGGCCGCTGAAGAGGGTTTTTGGCTCCCTGCTCCTCTGGGCTTTTTATGCAAAGGCAGCTCTAGAGCTGGCTGGCTGGTTTGCTTACCCCAGTGGTTTTGGTGACAGCAGAATACACCTTGAAAAGGTGGAGAACAAACACTGAGCGTATTGCCAATACATTAAAAATTTCACGTTCCCTTCTCCCTTTTCCCTTCCCCAGTTCACCAGTGACCCTAGACAGCTCTGCCCACGCACTGCCCAGAACCATTCCGCAAGTCACCTCTGGAGCCAGCAGAGGCAGGCCACCCACATCCCAGCCCTGCACGGAGGCCAGGCTGAGGCCACCAAGTGGCCCTCGACATACCCAGATACCCCACAGCCAGGGGACCAGCCCTGACTGGCATCTGTCCTTGGCTGACACCTTCCGGCTTTGGTTCCCAGGGATGAGAGCTCTTCCACCACAGGACAGATTCAGGATGCAGCAATGATGGCTTAGTGCAGTTCAGTGTTTGTCACCTATTTCCAGGGCCCCACAACCTGTGTGTGGGATCTGAGTGCAGACGGACACACAGGGGGCAGCGGGCAGCACAGTGACCCAGGCCACTGCTGCACTGTCCTGGTCCTTGCAGCCTTCTTTTTGTCTCCTTACTCTGGCCACCTCTGGTTATCAGCAGGAACAGACTCCTCAACCTTGGCCTCCAGGTCATCTCTGTGGTGTCTGCTCTGGGAGTTAGGAGCTCACCAAGGTATAGATCATGCTGGTGAAAAAGAAAAGGAAAAAGCCTTAGTGGGAGCCTGGCAGGCGGGAGCCAGTACTGGGGGTGGGGGTGGGGCTCACAAAGGCTGGACATAGGGTGCCCCTCAGTCCTGTCCTGTATCCCTATGTCCACACCCAAAGCCGGCATTGCCACATGTCCACTGCCACTCCATGATCGCAGCTCCTGGTCCTCCCCTTCTGTGGCCGTGCTGGGACCCTGGTGAAACTGAGCGGCCTGCAGCATAGGGTTGTGGGCAAGGGTCATCCACTGAGCCACATAACGTGGGACATGGCTTGCGAGAGACGAGTGACTGCCCAGGGCACTGCCCTGGCCGCTGGTTCCAGATTCTGCATGCTGGAAGCAGGGACCAGGCAGGGCCCCACACAGCCCTGGAGGGACAGGCACTGGGCTCTCAGGCCGACTCCCATCTATGGAGACCCCATAGGACAGAAGCCCAGGGCAATCCACGGGGAGTCAGGGTCCATCCTGTGGCCTGCTCACCTCACAGCTGTGACCCCATGGGCAGGCGCTGCTGTCCCACCTGAGATGGCCCTCAGGCCTCTATGAGGCCTAGCCTGGTGCTCCAGGTTTCTGCTCAACAGATTCCCTCCCTTCACTGTTATTTAATGTTTACTGAGTGTCTGCTGCAGGCCCATCCCTGCCTGCAAGATGGGGCTACCTGAGGCCTGGGCTCTGAGACACAGGCAAAGCAAGCATAGGAGCTTTGTGCCCCAGGGACAAGGGAACTGAGTGATAGAATCACAGACAGACAAATAACCCCAGGAGAGGGTTACCAACTCTGCCCTGTTCTCCACTGAGTTCCTGGGGCGGGCTCAAGCTCACCTCAGAGCTCTCTGGACAGGACAAGTGGCCTTCCCTGCCCTTACCATGCTGCCCCAGGACTGGACCAGGGCCAGGGCTGAGGGGGTACAGCTGGGTCTGAAGAGTCCAGGGGTTACCAAGGGGCTGGGCATCCAGCCCCCCGCCCAGGGACAGGGATGTGTCCTTTCCAATTTCGTTTTGTAATTAACAAGAGTATCGGTGACATATGAGGACAGATGCAGACACACTCAGCTAGAAGGTCACATGATCAAAGGACAAGAGCCCCCAGGACCCCACCCTCAATCACACACTTCTGCTGCTCTTTGTCTAGAGAGTTCAGACTGGAGACAGGAGCCTCAGAACTCACTGGGCATTTTGGAAACCCCAGTGACCCAGGCAGCTGAAGGGGAAGCATGCTGGGGCGCCCAAGAGGGGTGACTCTGAGAGGAGCTGCCCTCGGGGCTGCAGGCTGCAGACAGCAGCTCCCTTCAGAATACACCAACCCTCAGCCCTGCCCAGTGAGTCCAACATGGCCTGCCGGCAGCAGCCACTCACCAATACAGGTAGTAGAAGAAGGATAGCAGGTAGAAGGCCAGCTTGCACCAGGCCTCCTTCTGGCAGTAGCTCAAGGTGTCTGCATTCATGACCACTGGTGGGTCATAGGCCAGTTCTGAGCTGTCGGCTGGGCAGTGGAAGTACCTGCAGGGACAAAGGTCACACTTCTGACACCATACAAGCCAGGCCATCCATGCCACACAGCCTCATGTCCAGGATGCCATAGGTCCCATTCTCGGGGCTCTGCATCTTCACTGCAGGCACAAGTCCTTGGGTCAGAGCCATGGGCCTCATGGTGATTTCACCCTATGCAGCGATGCTGGAAGAGAAGTGACGTGCATCTCCTGGAGTCCCCTCATATCCCAGGAGGTACTAGGAAGAGTATCCTCCTGTCTGATGCCAGAAGCCTCATGGCTGCAGTGTTGTCACACCTACACTCTACCTGAGAGTTGTGACTTTGGATTAAATCTTGCCCTCTGCACAGCCCTCATGTGAACTTCCAAATCCCACAGGAACATGGCATGCATTTCAGATACCCTCTCTTCCTGGATAGAAGGAAAAGAACCATGGAGACCCAGGCACTCCATAGGGAGTGGGATAAAGAGAAAGCCACAGCCATGTCCTTCTCACCAGCAGCAAGCTAGAAAGGACAGCTATGGGCCAGAGACACTGGTGTGGTGGCTGCAGCCCTGAGGAACCATCCTCCATCCTGGGAGGGACACTGCCCAGGCTGTCAGCCTCCCTCAATGGCCCCCATGATGTGAGCAGTTCCTCTGCCAGGTACTCCCGCCACGTTGCAATGCCTCACGACAGGCCCAAGAGCTACAGGGCCAACCTACTGTGGGCTGTAGCAAAGTGAACCTTTCCTCTCTTCAAGCTGACAATGCAGGCATTTTGTTACAGGAGCAGAAAGCTGACGACTTATTCAATGTGGGACTCTACACAGCCGAATCACATTCCTCCCTCTGTGCCTTAGGGCTTCTCCTGCCCTCTGTGTTTGGCAGATCACACCTCTAGCTCCTGGCCTAGGGAAAGTTCCCTGCCCACTGCCCCCATACCCAAGGCCATCCGTGACTCACCATTCCTACCTGCACTACTTGGGCCAGGCTGCCCTCTTCTCCTCACCTGGATTCCACCATGACCCCAGGGTCAACCCCTCAAGTCAGGTCTAATGATGTCACTTTCCCACTACATCCCTCCTGCAGCATCACATGAATTTAGCTCCTCACAGACAAGACACCTCAATCTCCTAAGAACCCCGACATGTCTGCTGCTATCTTCTCCCCTCTCCAAGAACCCAGCCCCTCAGCCCTGGACACGCACTGTGCCACATATACCATCCCCCCTTCTCCCAGGCCTCGCACACACTGGCCCTCTCAGCTGCACACGGGGACGCACGCATGCGCGCCTCTAGCACTGTCCACCCCAGTGACAGATCCTTCCCTGGACTCTCCAACTCCACCAGGAGTGAGTCTTCCTGGCCACGAGGTGCAACTGGAGGCGAAGGGGTGCATTTATACTCAGTGTTCATCTTGGACCCCTCCACTGCCCAGCAAGCAGTGTTCTCCTTATTTTGTGGGAAACCCTGATGTGACTAAAGGAAAGCCACGTTTTGTGGGAAGCTAACAATGAAGGAAGGGTTTGGGGTCTGGCATTCTGGCCCAAGGGGCCCAGGCGGGCATCCCAACTCCTCTGGGCTCCTCCACCCGCCTCCACACCACCTGGAGACAATATTTAACAACAAGCCCACACCACCCTGTCCAACATACGGTTGTGGCAGAGAACAAAGACTTGAATCAGAATGTCCCAGAAAAGCCAGCATGTCTGGTAAGCACTTTTAAAAATTAAGATACAATTTACAGGCCATAAACTTCACTTTTCCAAAGTGCCAATTTGGTGGGCATTAGTACATTTACAGAGTTGTGAAACTGCCATGCTACCCAGTTCCAGAACATTCCATCACCGAGAAAACAACCCTGTGTCCATTAGAAGCCACCCCCATTCTGCCCCCTCCAGCCCTCCGCCTCCCCGGATTTGGCTGTTGGCTTATCTCACATACGTGGAATAACACAGCAGGTGATCACTGTGTCTGGCTTCTTCCAAGGGAGAAGAGTTGCCGTCCCGGCCCCGCAGACTCACCTCCAGAAGTGGTAGAAGAGCAGCGGCACATTCAGCCCCAGCGTGAGCCACTGCTGTGCGCACAGGAACATGACGCAGAAGAGGCTGTGGATGGAGTACTCAGGCAGCACCAGCTGGGGAGACAGACACGCGGTTAGCGGGCCGTGTGCCACCCACAGGGACCCGGTCTGGTGAGCTCAGTGCCTCAGGCCCCAGCCCAGAGGGACAGGGAGAGGCGAAGCAGCAGGCACCCAGGACGGCGCAGGGAGGGACAGGCCTGTTCAGCACAGGGTGAGTAGGCGGCACCAGGTTGGGCAGCTGCATGCTGAGGCCGACCTCAGGGACAACCCAGCTGGCGTGGCCAGGGAGCAGGAGCGTGTACCTGTGTACTGGCATGTGTGTCCACATGGGACAGATCATGTGATACACGGGGCCCCCATGACCCCATTAGAAGCCAAGGAACCATGGAGGGAAAGCAACAGGAAGGGTCCTGTGAGTGTATTAAGCTCTCTTCTCTTTCCTGAACAACAGTCTGATGACGATTCACTCCGAGTTTCCAATGCATTCCACAGCACACGAGATCTAGAGAGGATCTGCTGTAGACAGGAGGAAGAGCATGCATTACATGCAAATGTCGGATGTTTTCCATAAGGGACTTGGGCATCATGTACCCTGCATGTCCACCAGGCCCCTGACCCATTTCTGTGGACCCAAGGCAGGACTGCAAGGCCATCTCAGCTTTCTCTTTCCCACCCATCTTTCAGACCCCGGTCTCCACATGTGGCAACTGCACAGAAGGGGACGGTGCCACCCAGAGAAACAGAGCCTTGGCCCCTGGTAAAGGCCCCTCTGCCCGCCTCGACCAGTCCCCCTATACCCCACTTTCTGGTCTGGCCTCAATCAAACCCTGGGGCCATCCTTCCCTGCTGCCTTTCACAGCCACTTTCCAACAGTATCAAGGCACTGGGATTTCAAAAGCTCTGCTGTGTTCTTGCACACGGGTTCAGAAAGCCACTCGGGAGGAGGCGAGAAGAAAGTGCTCTTTCCACTCCCACGGCCAAATTCTCTCACCGCAGGACAGCACTCCTCACGTCCACTCCTTTTCTTCCTTCCTTAAACCCTGGGACACAGGAGAGGGAATTGTGCTCAGAACAGAGGGAGCAGATAGGTCAGGGAAGGAAGGGTAGGCATGGTCCAGAGCCAGAGGGCAAGGACCAAGGTCCCGGGAGGCCATAGCGGGGCTGAAGGACCCCTGGCCAGCAGCCCAGAGCACACATTTGTGCCCAGCACTTTCCACTAGCAGGGGCAATGGTGGATGGGGTCCCTTACAGAGTCCATCAACAGCAGGAGACAAATGGCCAAAGCCACAGTACACAGCAGGACAGTAGCCAGAAACTGTGGGGGCGAGGGGCAAGTACTCTGCAGGAGTGATGTGGGAGGCAGAGGCTCCTGAGGGGCCTTGGTATCGCCTCTCACCGAGGCCTGTGATGCAGCCAATGATTTCTTTTTGTCCTGTGGACAGAAACACTATGGAGGCAGGAGCTCCTTCCTGCTAAGGACAAGCTGCTGATTCACCTGGCTGGAGAGGGGCTGGGGCAGAGGACATCCTCGGATTGGGGTCATGGAGCAAATGCAGCAATGGCCTGGACACAGCCTCTCGCCCAGGCCTGGCCCCTGGCTTCCTGCTTGCCACCTGCACTGCCCTGGGCTGTCTTCCGGAGGGCGGGGTGGGAGTGGGGTGGGGCTGTGGTTGTGTCCCATCCACACCACCCCCTTCAGGGCTCCTGGTTTCCCTCTTCTACTCCTGGTGCTTTCCCAGTCTGACTTGCTAATTCCTCAACCCGTGCCTGAGTGCACCCAGCCACAGGGGACCATAGCCCTACCCAGCACCCTGCCCTCTGGATATGTGCGTCACACATGCATCACTCAGGGTCTGGCAGAGGGACCCAGGAGCTAGAGCGTCCCAGCCTGACTGGGGGCTTGATCTAGCAAATCACCTTTTAAAGACAAAGTCACAGAGGCCAGGGGTTTAGCTCAGCGGCCTAAGTGCCTACTTGGTAAACATGAGGTCGTGAGTTTGATCTCTGGTACCAAAAAAAAAAAAAAAAAAGACAAAGTCACACAGTAACTTTTTCTCCCAGCAAAGGTGTGAGTGGCGCTGTTGGGGTAGAAAGCATTTTGGTTAAGGAGCAGGACCCTTGGGCTCCACACTGGTGATCATGGTCACCTGACTACAGCAGCTACAATCCTCTATCTGCAGTGGGAACACAGAATCGCATCTGTCCCAAGTGGAGGAGCGGGCAGTGAGCTCGTGTGTCCCCGGCACCTGATGCCACCTCGTAATCAGGTTCACTGTCACCTGCTCAGTCCCCACAATCCTTGTCAGCTGGAAAGTTCCGGGAATCAAATCAGAGACAGCACGGAGTGCAGAGGTCAGAGCCAGGTGGAGGAAGGGGCTTCCCTTCTGCTCCCCATCCTGCCCCTGCTCCTCCTCCCACTCCCCTTCCTCCTCCCCCACTCTCCCAGCTCAGCTTTACCCCTCTCTGTGAACCCCTACCTCCCTGCCCCGCCATTCCACTCTGGGTGAATGTGCACTGTCCAGAGCTCAGAACCAGCACAAATGAGAGAGGCACACAGAAGGACACACTGGACATGTGAGGCCTTCCAGAGGGTGGTGTGCTTTGGCTGAGAAATTGAGGTCCTCCTGGAACGCCTCATGCAGGGCACGGCTGGGTCATGCATCCCAGTGGACAACCTGGAAGTGTGGCAATCTCATCGGAAGCTCTCAGAGCTATTAGTGGTTACCAGAGCAACCCAGGATGAGTATCTGGGAGAGCCAAAATGTTCTATTTTTAAAATACCCAGCTGATGATCAGACAGCCATGTAGTAGAAACCAAATAATAAGGTACACATGAAAATTCTCGCCAAGATGGGCATTTTCCCAAAGTAGAAATAATTTAATCTACAAGAACTATTTTGACCCTGCAAGCAAAAAGATCTCCAGTGGGTCCCCAGAGTCTGATTATCTCCTGCATCTTGCACAAAAGCTGGAACTGAAAGGCATCCCTTTCCCCTCGAGTTTCTGTCAACTCCTGCTACACTGTCAGCTCCTGCAGCTCTTCTAGCCTCACATACTCATGCATGCACACATGCACGGTGCACACTGAGTGTGACAGACACCCCACCTGGGACCTGAAAGAGGACTTAATGACACCACCTGACCTTTGGGAGGAGGACAGTCCAGGAAGAGATGGGAGAGATGTGAGTACCACGACATGAGATGCTGGTATGTCCACAGGGTCCCGGGAGTCCCTGGTCCCAAAGCTGCAGGCCATGCCAGTTATTGGATTTCTAAGCCACCCAGGAGCCTGCGTGGGTGTGGGGATCAGATGCTAAGTGCTGAGCATGTGCGACCAGGGGGCAGCCAGGGACCGAGTCTGAGAGAAAGGTCCTCCTCTTCTCCATGGTCCTCAAGACTCCACGTGAAGCCCAGGCTCTCTCAAGGGCCATGTGGCCCTAGGGGAGGCAGTGGCCTGGCTGGGCCAGGTCCAAGCTGGTGAAGCAGGATCACAGCCAGGGACAATGGGCTGGGAGGAGCACTGGGCCCCAGGTGCCACTACAGAGTGGGCCAAGCAGAATGAGTCCATGGAACCATGTGAATGGACCAGCAGGAAGGAAACTGCTGGTTTGCAAAGTAAAGAGATTAAAAATCTAAGTTGGTAGCCACGGAAATGAGGAAGGAAGAGATGAAGAAACATTATTTCAAATGTGCAAATACTGCTTTGTCTCAAAACCAGCTGTAGGTGGCTCACAATGTGTTGCTAATTAAGCATGACATTTGTCTCACACAGCTATATTTAGTAGTACCTAAGATCACGTTTAGTGCATTTATGTTTTGAAACACTCTTCTCTGGGTTTATTTCATTTCTTACTCCTGAGAGGATGTGGCTTTGTAGACACTCATCTGTATGGGGTCAGGCACATGGAATCCACACAGCCCTGTGGTGTCCTGAGATTCAGGAAGGACAAACACATAACCAGGACATCCAGCTTTGGGCAATGGTGGAAACCCTAACCAGGACAGGAGATGGAGCTGGGTCCTGGAGGAGGCGAGGCTTGAAAATGAGCTATGGGCCAGAAGAAGAACACCCCAGGTGACAAACAGGGCTGGAAGTCCGAGCCACACTCAGCACAATCCTTGGCACTCAACAAATGATGGGCAAACTAATAAGTGTTTGAAAGCAAGCAGATGTCAGGAAAGTGGGAAGGTACACGGGATGATCCAATTATACAGTGAATGCTTAAATGTTTTAATTTTATATTTATTACTCTAAAAGACACAATGCCCTTAACCTCCCCCACTTTGAACTCACTCGACCCATCGTTCTTGCCACTTTCTGAAGCAGTTCTACGAGTCCTCTTTACCAGATGTGATTAAAAAAAATACAGTGAACACTGCTGAGCACTGTCTAGGCCAAGGCAGGCTTCTACGTTGCAGTAAATCACTGGAAATGGCACTGGTGCAACTTCCCACTCTTCTCCAAAGTCAAATGACCACGAGAGTTTAGTGTTTTGAATGGATTCAGAACACTGAGGCAGCCACAACAGAGCAATGGTCTTAATCACTTTCTCATGCTGGGACAAAATTTCTGACAACCTCAATTTAAAGGAGGACAGGTTTATTTGGTTCACAATCTATGGTTGTTTCTCCAAGGCAGAAACAACACGATTGAAAGGACTGGCGGAGAAAAGCAACTCGCATCATGGTGGCCAGGAAGCAGGGATGGCAGGGAGGGCACAGAGTGATATGCTTGATTTGGACCAGCCCCACCTCCTAACAGCAAGTCAGCCACAGCATGTCCTTGATCCAATCCCCTTTCAAAAGCCCTGGCTATGAATGCTTTGGGGGACATGTAGATATAAAGCATAACAGCCCTTGATCGACTACGTGAGCCCTCTAGGGTGGGGCCGTGGCCTGGACCCTTGCATTTTATAAGCTGCCCTGAAGCCTCCCAATGTGCTGCCCTTACTGAGGGACATCACTGCATAAGAGCAAGTTTCTGACACAAGGCAGCCTGAGGGCCCAAGTTCACCGATCATGGTAACACTGGTGTGTGGGGAGCTCCTTCCACACTTAGAGCCCAAATCACTTCAACCTCTTTGAAAGGTGATCTAGTCATTTTTAGAAAAGAACAAATTCAGATACTCTAGTCACATGCTCTCACCCAAAGGCTAGAACCAGAGATGTTCATATAGTGGACAAACAAGAAACACACTGAGAACATGGACATCCATAAGCATGGGAATGACTGTCTATGTGGTGTGTTCTCTAGGATTGCACACAGGCTCGTTCTCACTGTTATGAGATCCACAGCATTGGCCTATGGGGGTCATGCTGCAATGGCACATGGAGAAAAGCACTGCTGTGCTGTCTACTATGCAGGAGACACAGTCCAACACCTCCAGGGGGAGCAGGGAACTCTGTGCTCCAAGCCCTGTGATTCAGGGCCCTTAACACTTTATCCAAGCACCTGCACACTGTGGCCACAGATTTACAGTCTAAGGTGCATCAGCAAAATGAGAAGGGATTTATTTTGCTTTCTGCACAGTTTCACAGACAAAAGTGGCACCCTTGGAAGACCACAGTAAAGATGGCGGATAGGTAACAGCAGGCTACAGAGGCTCCCTGAGATAGTCAACTTAGAATTCAACATAATACAACGTGGGGAGTCCCGAACAGAGGGAGATGAATCCTCTCAACCCAAGGTGAGAAGAACCAATCAAACAGTCCCAATGCTGTGATTGGAACAGCTAAAGGCTTGGGGCTCCTGCTGCAGCACCCAAACTCGCACGGTGGCAACTTACCGAGCCATCTGAAATCCTGCCGCTTCAACTCACTGGAAACGCAGTCACACTGAGGACAGGAGTTGGCATACCGAACAGAGAACTGAGCTGGCAGGGAACCTGCATCGACCTGCAGTGAGTGACGGAAATAAAACCTTTCCATAGGAAAAGAAGAGACTCCAACAGATGACATTATGGGACCAGGCAGACTGGCAAGAACAAGGAGCTGCGTGACTTCAGTCAGCTGCTCCCCTGTCAAGCATGATTGGTGGGGAGTGCTTGACTTGGGTCACGCCCCGGACTGAGACCCAGTAGGCTAGCCTGGCAGTGCATCCTAATGCAGTGAAGCCCTCAGCAGTTGACTGGCCCAGAGGGGAGGGCCCAGCATAGGCTGCTCCATTCAGTACCTCCTAGTACAATGCAGTGGCGGGAGCACCTAGTCAGTGCATTTCAGAAGAACTGTAACCGACAAAGAAAGAAACTGGGGCCTCCTATCACACCTGTATGGAAGGAACAAAAAATATGAGAAGAGGAAGTAACAAGAAAGGGTCCCTAGCCCCCAACCCAGAGAACATTGATCCAGGAAAAGTAAATGCAAAGGAGATTGAGGACAGCAAACATGCAATATCAGACATGGCACCAGTGGACACAAAGCGGTATCTTTGGGACCTCATAGATGAGTTCAAAAGTGAAGTATCTAACCAAATAAAGCAAGATATAACTAGAATAATAAAAGAAATTCTAAGCACCTCTCAAGAAAAAACAGATGGAAGAATGGAGGAACACAAAAAAGGGGGGAATTGTTTGATGAAGAAAATAGAGAAAACATAGAATACATGAAGCAGGTTCAAAGAGATTACCAGGAAATTAAAAAACTCCATTGAAAGCTGGCAAAACTGCTTGAAAGAAACTAAGGATAGATTATCCGAACTGGAGGACAGGTTTGCAATGTGGGATCATGAAAGGAAAATTTTCTTTAAAATAACAAGGAAACAAGCAGTAACAATCAAAGGCTAGAAGACGACAAGAGGATCTATACCTTAAGAATAAAGAATGTGAATGAAGAAGCAGGGGCACAAACAAAGGAACTACAAAGGCTATTCACAGAAATAATCAAGGAAAACTTCTCAAGCATAGGAAAAGAAAAAGATATTCAGATGTTTGAGGCATACAGAACTCCAGCAACCTACAACCAAAACAGAACCACACCCAGGCATACAATAATCAAGATCCCAGAAATCCAATATCAGAACAAAATATTAAAAGCTGTCAGAGACAAGAAACAGATTACTTACAAGGGAAAGCCCATCAGAATTATGGCAGACTTCTTGGCACAAACCATCTAATCAAGAAGAGTGTGGAGTGAAGTATTCCAAGCCCTAATAAGAAAATAACCTCCAACCCAGATTGATGTACCTGGAAAATTGTCCCTAGAAATTCACAGAAAAACAAGATGCCTCCAAGACAACAAGGAACTGGGGGAATTCGCAGCCACCAATCCAACTCTACAGAGAATACTGCAGGGCATTCTAGAGAGAGAGAAAAGGACCAGGATTCCAGGAACTGTGGCTGAGAGGCCCCAATGAGTGATGCAAAAAGTGAAATGAAGAAGACAGACAACTAATGACAGA